TCATAGTGCACGCGACACCATGATGACAAGGAATATGCTTTAACGTTTGTGGGAGGACGTAGCTTGGTAACACGATGGTGATAACAGTCGTAGCAGTTAACGTTTATAGAAGGTAATATGGTATTATTGCACACTACCACTACTAACACTACTGATTGCTACGAGAAGACCAATATGAGCACCACTCGAAAAATAGAATCACCGAGCTATAACGTTGATACGTATTACCACGTATATTGTATGAAGAATAATAATAATACAGACAATATATTATATTGTGATAATATTTCAAGATAAAAATACTTTGAAACGTCAATGCGTACGTATATTAATATTTTTGTACTCGATTTCGTATTTGATTGTTGTCGTTGACCAGTTATTGTTTTATATACTAGCTTTGTATTATTATATAGTGTACAGATCATCAATTATTTTAACTCACGTGGAAACGTCTTCATACTACGTGATCCTAGTTTGCCGGTATTGCGTTTTTGTTGAAAGTTAATCAAAGATCATCAAAGAGGTAGGTCAGACTTAAATGCGACTTAAGCACAAGATGTCTGTTGTTCAATATGCCTAGAAGATCTATGGCGTTGAATAAATTACGCATACTATGTGAAGATGAATATTTAGAGAGTCACGAGAAACCTTCCTCTTTACATCAGTTATTTTTTCGACATTTTTTCATCTGTTTGGTGTTGCGCGTCACATTAACTTCCCAGCAAAAGTTGGATGTTTTTCTAGTATAGTTGACAGTCTCGTTATAGGTTAGAGTCCGCCCGAGTACTCGAGCATTCGTTCGATTTCCTTAGGGCGTCTCGCAATCCAATTCCAGGTAACGAAGGGTCGAGAACAAAGGACTTTGTTGTATGTATATGACGAAATGAATAGTGAATTCCAAACAAATGTAGAGACTACGGTTTATCTATATTTAAACACTAGGATATGCCAACTGATTTTCTACAAGTGCAAATAACGTCTAGTGTACCAATGTATAGTTCTGGAAGGGCCTAAGAAAGGGGACACGTTCATTTGAAATCGTACATGGCTACGGTTGGCACAGATTCGTTTAGTAAATTTAATTACTTGAATTCTACAAGATTCTTCAAAAGGTAGTAGGTCGTGCATCGACAAAAAAGAATTTTATTCCCAGTCCGTCGGATTCGTTTAGATATTAATTAAGTTGATAAATGACTCTGGTGGTGATTTAAATGGCGTGCAGCAGTGAGCAAAGTAAAATCGTAATAATCGTGGTTTGTATCAAAGCCCAAATAGTAAAAGTGCAATTTATATTAAGTCGACGATTTGCGGTTGCATGCACGACGGTCAATTATTCCATTACAAGCAGGAAACTTTTTCATTCGTTCGAGTTATCTCTCTAATGATGCCATAGCGGGTCGCTGGAACGTTCCGACGTTCCCTCGTAATACACCACCAATTACGATGAGTGCACGGTAAAATAAGTTATTTATTGTTCAGTCACTCGCATGCACATTGACAAGTGTGATATTTTCTATGCAGTTTTTCAATAAATCGCTATACTCTTTTCGTTGCACATTCTATGCAGTGCATAGTCTATGCCACGACGAGTTACTGACTCTCAATCACCTTCTATATTTTTTTTCGAATCACGTACTTATATTTATGTATATAAATATATCTGTTTCTCAATTTCTCATCTCTTTACTCTTAATTTTCTATTTGATATTTACCAGCGAAGAATAAAGTAATTGATTCGAACGTTAATTATATTCGACTCCCAGCGCTATATTATTTTCTTCTAATGACTCACGTCGTTGTCCATACTTTGGATTTCTATTCAAATAATATGCGTAAATTTACATATTATTTATATGTACGATATAAGCTTTGTTCTCTCACACTGTGCTAAATATTACCAATAGTCTCGGATTCTGTTGTTTTATATAGTATTAGCATAGCATTCCGTTAGTGATTATTCCTTTGCTGATTCCATCTTGGCATTTAACGAAGGTCAAATAAGAGAAACGTTAATGAGTGACATAGTATAGCCCATATATGCTTTACCCCAAATTATATAGTCTATTCTATGCAATAGCTCTGGGTCTTAAAATGGGTGTCCGTTTACAAGCTCAAATAACTGTGGGACATATGATTCCGCTTTTCGGTAGAGGCCCAAAAATCGGCGTCAGGACCCCAAAGGCTTCCCTGCGGGTTCTATTCAATTCAGCGGAGTTGGTCGGTATTACGACATACAGGTGTGCACTTTCTTGACGAAAGTATTCTAACAATTTTTGATATTATTAAAAATAATTCTTTATTCTTGGAACTTATATTCTACAATAGCTTAAAAATTAATACGAATTTTCGTAAACTTTTCTTAATGTTGATCAATGACTATAACTTTGTATCGGATATGAAAACTTCTTGCTTTTACTTCGGAAAATTTTCAACCCACCTCTTACGTAATTGCTTACTTGATCAAACATTGACGAACCACAAAGGATAAAGAAGTTACTCGTTAACGGAATTCCAGCGCTGATAATATAGCGCAGAGATCAACAAACTCAAGTATCCCGTACCATTATTAGAGGGAATATAAACAAAATTGAAAATTACACGGGCACGCAGGGTTCATACTCATGAAAATTATTCCCTAAATATTACTACGTCAGTGAACGACCTATATTGCGGCACCAGGTAACGTGTGAAAAATAACGATAAGCACAGAGGTCTTGTGCCACATGTATTATATACACTGCCAGGACTATTTAGTATCGGCCATAGCAACATCGCGAGAATGCATATTTTCTCATGGATTTAAAAGGGAATAAAAATATCTCCTTTCACCATTCTCATCTTGAATAAACATCAGGATTTAATTCGTAATACCATCCGTAGAATATTCGTCATAACCGATTGAGGAATATAAAAATAATAAAAAACCTAAAAGAGTCTACGAAATATTTATTTTCACTCATCGCTATAGTTGTAATCCCATTTAATTTTCCTAATGCACTTATTGCATTTGCAACTGCCTACGTCTCCCTCTTTTTTTTATACCCAATGTGCATGACCGCTACACTCGTCACGTTTGATAGAACCAGGAGAGACCTCTCTCGACTTGATTCTATTTATACGAGAGACTCGAGCTTACCGAAGTGGCAGGAATGTTGTTTTTAATGCGCGTCCCCACGCTTGCTCGATCGTCGATCAGCCATCACTTACGCGATTCCATCTCGCTGTTTGATTACAGCTGCCATATTCACACAAGCCGTCAGAATTTTAATACAATAATCATACGGAATATAAAATGTTACAGGTAGAATATAAATGTGAATAAAAAATATTTTTTGTTTTTCTTTGTACCATGGGTCATTCCTCTTTTCACCATTACACCTACTGACCATCAATGAGGAACATCCTGTAGCATCACTACGGAATTCTATCCTTCTTTCTCGATACGAAGAAGAATCTTTGGAATTCCACAGTCGCTTCCCGCAAAACTGATCGATCTTCGTTTCTTTTGCTTGCTGAATGTACCTGAATCGCTTGCGCAATGCGTTTGCGTTAAACCGCGTATTGACATTTTGTTTCATTTTTTATTTTATTTCGCATGCATTGCGCACCTATACGAGTCTTTTGGAGATATCTTTGTATACTATATTAACATTTTATTGTCACTCTTGAAAACGGGTTTTAATATGTCGACGGCAAGTTACATTTTGTTTAATCTTATTTTTAAATAGTAAATTGATTAATTTCAGATTTACAATACATCTATAGTTAAGTAGGCTTAGTGCACTCTTAATATGCTTATTAAATACAACTTTGTTACTTGTATGAAATTACAGAAATTCGTACAGTCAAACTTGTCAACTTTTTCGCTAATTCCACGTACGTATATGCATATGTGCTACGTAGTTGCATGCACTTTCTTTATTCTTATGAGTGCAGGCGACAAACGTAACTATATGTGGCTTTGTGAGTCACACAGATTTCCACGGCTAAAGAGAATTATTATTTTGGGAACGTCAAGGAAGTTATCCCTAGTGCGAAGAAGTGGATCACGCGAATAGATCAACTGTTTCTTGATGTTATGGATAATGAAGGAGAAATAAAATAATGGAAATGTAAAGAGAGGAATTTTTAAATGGGAGACTAAGAGCGATTTTAACGTAAAAATCATAAATGCTCTTCAATATCCGTGCTTCGGTGTTTACGATTCTTAACTAAGGTAAATATACAAGTATCGGAAAACAGATTAAAGATATGAACAGGCATATGCATATGGGTAGGATTAACTTCGATAAAGTTGATCATCATAAAAATGTGTCATTAAAATTAAAAATATGTAAGGATATTGTCATTGTGTCAGCAAAGCGATTCATGCGAAGCGTGAGGTGAAAATCAGCATTTTGTTATTGAAACATGGAACTCTTCATAATTAATCGGAATTTCAATTACAGACTTTTGATCAGCGAAGTATTTTGCTTGCGATTCACGTTCGATATAGATTTGAATTGCAATTAACGTCAGTGTATATTTAAAAGACAATAGAGTTGACAATTCTATCACGCGTTAAAAATGTCATTTTCAAATATAATAAACATTGTCAATATTTCATTTTTATTTTAACGCAGATTAGAATTTTTCCAGTATTTTTTTTTAACGAATTTTCAACGAATTTTTTGAGAATGAAAAATATCTTATAAAAATTAGTAAGATTGAAGGTCAACTTCGCATTTACAAGTTGGTTACAAACGACGCCTACCAAGGACTTCTAGTTCTTTATGTGTAATGAGCGTTCCTAATAATAACGAATCATTTCGACTGCGCCATAAACTTGCCGAACTGTCATCGACTAAGTAGTCGCATTATTGCGAGAAAATGAAAAGCTGAAATGAGTCAAATGAAAAGTCATTCAATCAAATCAACGAGTGTATAGAGGAGATGGTACCAAAATGGTGCCCGATGATATTTTGAGAAAAATTCGATAATCTTAAAACTAATTGACATACCTTCGTAGCACTGTACATTAAACGTGACAAGTAGTGTCTGTGTCATCCATTGCGTACATACACGACGAGTTTCGAAGACCCAACGTAAAAAAATTCTTCTATGGTCCATAAAGAAAGAGTGATCCACAAACTCAAAGGTCACCTCCCTCAAAGAGATAGCATCATCAGCAGTAGGAGGAAATCCACCAAGAAACCGCGGGCTATCCGAGGCCCGGAAGAAGGCTCGTTTGCGCGTAAAACGAGTTAAGAAAAGGAAGAACGTTTTGTCCTGACGAAGTGACACAAACGAGTTAATTCGTTTAACCGTCGACGACACCGCAGGTCACAGGGGTTGCCCCAACTAATGAATCAAAATTGGTCAGCTTGGAGGCTGTACCACGCTCGGTTACGTCTCTCATTATACTCCAAGTAGAATCATAAATCAGCGAGCTCTGCTACACGGTGATCATTCTCTTCTCTTTCGCGTAGAGTGGCTCAACGATCGGACTTCTTTAACCCGGCTTTGCAACGACGCAAGGGTGTCATTAGAGCTAGTACCAAACCGAACATAGGAATGCGGACGCGAGTTCGTAATAAACTAAATATTAATCCTACACTTATCGTTAGATGGTCCGCACCGCGGAAATACACTTTACTATAAAGTTTCTATTCTGAGGATTGTCCGAGCGTGACTGAGATTCCATTCAGGGAACATACACGGCCGATCAACGTCTATCGCGGTTCTGCCGGCGACTAACGAGCCAAACGACTTTTCGCTTCCCTGTTTCACTTCTCCCTCTCTCATGTGGTTCGGAAGACCGGCATAGTACGCACAGTCCCTACCACGAAGTCCCCCGACACTACTCGAAGCCCACTCTAAGGCAACTGGTACGAAAGCTAGTTACAAACCAGAAATATAGCGGGTGTCTCTTAAGATATATGTCAAGAATCGGCATCATTTTCTGACCCCCCCCCCCCCCC